CTCTTCCTTCATATTTAAACCAATGCTTAGAGGTACTAGGGTTCGGAATTTTTATCTGTCTCACTGATGGGGAATCTGAGTTTCAAAGAAGGGACATGATTTCCTCAAGGTAATTCACCTTGTAGATGGTCAAGCTGATGAAACCCCAAACTACCAGTCTTATGCATTTTCCATCATCTAGATAATCAGTTAGTCAGTCATTTCACGGGAACATTAACTGACTTCTCAGTGCTTTGGGATGGGAAGCAGAGTTCTTGTCTTGAAGGAGCTCTCATAGTCTCAATGAGGATATAGATGAGGAAATCAGTGATAACAATAAAGTCTCCAATCATCTAATAAATCATTCCGAGAAAGGGTTTTGGTTTTTTTGTTGTTTACCTCCAGTATCTACTGTGGGTCTAAGCCATTCTAAGAACCATGATGTGTAGGAATGATATTCACAATAATTAGCAAGTGGCATGGCATAGGAACCAACCATGAACAGGTCTGTTAATAAGCAGAGGAAAGGTATGGTGCCTACCCTCACGGTCTACTGGGGTAAAATATACAATGTGCTAAAAATTAAAAATGAAAATCTGGATGAGAATAGAAAAGGGGTCCTTCTCTCTTGGTGGAAAGCCATGGAAATATTCTTGGAAGTATATAAAGTAAATCTTGAGAAATAACATAGGAGTTTGCCATGTGGACAAAGAGGAAGGAAGGTTGTTCTAGGGACAGGGAATTGAATGTGCAAAGTCTCAGAGCCCTCTAAATTATTTCTTTGATTATTTTACTTAAAATTTTTAAGTTGCTAAGATCCTTAGGGGTGACTCGTTTGGTAACCAGGACCCTAAAAACCAAGACAAGGAAGGGATTTGCCCCAAGTTACCCAGTAACTTGACGTGCATCAGGACTTGAACCCACTCTAAACCAAAGCTCCATCCCCCCTGCTATGCTGACCAGTCTACCTATCCGTTGATTATGCAGCTGATTTGCCCTATTCCATCAAGCAGGAAAGCTGTCCTCTAGCTTGCAGTTCATTCAATGATGCCTTGAGCCTTCTTGTCCTTTGTTGTCTCAGGAAAATTGAGAAGAGATGACAAAAAGCACCGAACAAAGACTTGCGGACGGCAAGTTGGGGAACCTTGACTCCAAACAAATGAGTCTAATTGAATGACTAGCCCATTGTGTTGTGTCCGAGCTCCTTCATTGCTCTGGGAGAGATTTCTGGCAATTGTAGAGTCATGTGGGATTTCTGGAGTTAGCACATTTCAGGAGTTAGCACACTAGATGAATCCCAAGAAGAGGAGGAGGTTGGGAACAGTGAACGAGTGGCTAAGCAGGTGGGAAGCAGGGGGTCCTGTGGGAAGGGGGTGCCAGATTTCTCAAGGAAATGGATGCCTGACTGCCTCAGATAGTGGTAGGCCTGACCAACATTCCACTCACTGGCTGATCCATCTGGAAAAACAAAAAGAGCATTGCATTTCACAGACCTTCAAGGAAATGAGAATGAACTCACCTGAGGCAAACCCTCATGCTCCCTCTGGCCTCCAAACCACAGCCTCCACCAGCAGCCATGAGGGAGGACTGCAAACAAGCAACAACAGCATCAGCCTTTGGCCCACTCTGTGCAGAGGTGTTTCCAAGCACTCACTCCACCCTCTCATGTGGAAGAAAGAGCTTACAGTACCAAGAAGGACAAGACCATAAGAGAGCGGATGCCAAGAGGTATGGCCTCTGCCAAACAGGAGGGTGAGTGGTTATTAATTCTATAAGGATCCCCTGCTGTAATGTCTAGAGTGGAAAGCAGCCATGGTGGCCTTGAGCAAGTAATTTCTGTGAGTTCCCTTTCCTCATCTGTGCAATGGATGTGTTGGACACGATAATCTAGTTTCCCTCTCATACTCTGTGCATGAACAAGGACAATGTTTAATGATATAGCATGCCATGTCAAACATTCACTTGTTCCTCCATTACTGTATTCATCCATTAAACTCTATTTCCTGAGTTTCTGCAATGCCCAAGGCTCTGTGCTCAGCACAGAAAAAGCAGGCGTGATCCCTGTCCTCTGGAAGCCTAGAGTGTAAGGGGAAAAAACTAGACATCCATCTTCCATGTACAGATAACAAATGTCCTAACGGAATTCCCACATACTAGGGTGTTTGGAAACACTTTTTATGGATGAAATCTAGGAAGCTCTGTGGGAAGTTGGATCAGAACTGGACGATAGGTGATGTGTGGAGGTGGAGGTAAGAATTCTGGGTAGAGTACAGCATTATTAGCCAGGGTTTGGCTGTTGGAGAGTGTATCCAGACCCTAGATTTGCCTGGAACAGAGGCAGCAAAAGGCGCACGGATAGATGGAAAGGAGTCCTTGTCTGGACCACTCCTTACACAAAAGCCAGGGTGTGGCTCTCAAGATGCCACATGGGTTTTAGAGAAACTTCCTAAAATTCCTGTCTCTTCTAAAGATACATAAAGCTAACTATCTCTTTCATATGTTGTCAGAATATACTTCCATGATAGTAACTTAATGCTTACTCAGAGTCTCATGTATTTGCTCCATTGACCTATTCCTGCCTTGAGGACCTGTCTAGTGATACCTGGCTTTGTTTTCCCTCTAATTGTCTAAGACACCTGTATTTGACCCCTCGTCTATCCTGTGGAAGACTGGGAGGATAGGAGCTGTCAGGTTTGGGATGTTCCCAGAAGTCATATTTATTACCCTGTTTTCTAGCATGCTTTCTTTTTTTTTTTTAAGATTTTATTTATTTATTTGACAGACAGAGATCACAAGTAGGCAGAGAATGGGGGGGGAGCAGGCTCCCTGCTGAGCAGAGAGCCCGATATGGGGCTTGATCCCAGGACCCTGAGATCATGACCTGAGCCGAAGGCAGAGGCTTAACCCACTGAGCCACCCAGGCACCCTCTAGCATGCTTTCTTATTGCAGTTAAATACACACGTAATCGCAAACATACACTGATTACATGCTATATGTAAATGTAACCTATACGCCATGTGAAATGTATTACATACTGTTCTAATGTTTTATTCCCTAACCCCGAGAGATAAACTTGGTTGAATCTGGGAAACCAAGAGGCCAGGAAGCATTCACTGCGAGTTGAAAGACACAGTCTCGTGCTACTGCAGCATACTTTGGCTGAAACACAGAATTAAAAACTTCCAAAACTACCAACATTTGAATCAGCCAAAATGTTCAAAAGTTCAAATGAGCTGTTTTATGACATGACTATTTATGGGCTTTCTTGCTGTCTGGGAGGGTCACTTAAGCAGAAGATCCTAGAATACAGAGCCATAGCAACCATGGGGATGACCTAACCTTGTCCGGTTTTTTTCCAGACAGAGAAACTGAGGCCCACAGCAATAATAATAACAAGTATGGGCATTACATCATTCATTATTAAATACATTCATTATTAGTAATGAATCAAAAAAAAAAAAACAAGGATCTCCCTTTAGCTCTTATGGAACAAAGAAATATATTTTCTATATTTAAATAGAGCAGTGATTTTTGTACAAGTCATATTATAATTCAATAGGGCATAAAACACTTAAATATCATCTGACAATGTTCCTGGACAGTGGCGCACAGTGGAAAGAACTATGGAGTCCCGTGTTGTCATCTAAATGCTTCCCAGGTGTATTCCCTAAGTGGACTGAATTACTTCCGTAAACCTCCCTTTCTTTGTGCGTCAAAAGGGGTCGACACCTGCTTGGCTTGAGCAAGGCTGTAATGAAATAATATCTATAAAGTGCCTCGCAGAGCACCTACTATAGACTTAATAAGGGTGGGTCCGACCATAGCCGCAGGTTCCATGACTCCCTCCACTATCACAAAACTGCTGTGCATTGTGACAAGCTGAAACGTGGGTGCCGTGCCCTCGAGGCTTCCCGACTGCCTTGGATGCCTGTGTGTGCCCTGCGGATCCTCAGTGCATGCTAACCACCGATCGAACTGATGACTCAGAGCTTGGAAAGAATCCACAGCACGCTGGAGAGCAAAAGCTCAGTTTATGTCTCAAAGATTAAGTTGTTAACCTTTTTTTTTTTCTTTGTGCTGGACACTTTGCCGCACTAAGAAGAAAACTTCAGAAAGGTTTTCCCCAGGAGGTGCTACTTAGAAGACCGGCCCACTCACAGAACACGGGCATTGTCCACAAAGCTGCCCCTCGTAGGACCGGGGGTTGGGGGGGGGTGCTGGGAGGGTGAAGCCTCTGGGCAGCTGGGCACGGCTCCCTCCGCCCAGAAGACCAGCTGGGCAGATCTGCTGCTCCCTGCACTGCCCTGCTGCTGACAGCTAATCCTGGGTTATCTCTCTGCTGGCCCAGAGAAACCCAACCACCCCAGGCTTCTGCAGGGTTTTAGGTCCTCTTTCCAGGAACTGGGCTCAGCCCCTTTCCTTTTGGAGGTGCCACTGAGCAGCTGTGGAGCAGAGCCCCGGCGCGCCGGGAGCCCAGGGTGGCGGTGGAGTTTCCAGCCCGCCTGAGCAGCAGAACCAGAGCTGCCGGTCCTGCGCCCTCTCATTCCCTGGGCTTCTGTCTCACAATGAGAAAATCCGTTTGGGGAGCCAAGCAAAAATCACACCTAGCTTACAGCTGCTCTGGGTCTGGGTTGGGGGTGGAGAAGGGGAGGAGGCAGAGGAGGGAAGCTGGAATTCCTACTTTTGCCATAAATTGTATGCAAATGGGTTCTTTTCCTGGCAGGGAGCAGGGAGTGAGTGCGTCTTTCATGAGTTAACCCTGTTCCGCTGGGAGGGCTGTTCCTTTAATTCACCAACTGAAAAAGTAGGAAAGGATGTCTGGAGGCGAGGCGTCCCATTACAGAGGCAGGAGCTGCTATATAAGCCAGCCAAAGCTGGCTGCGCTGGCCACAGCCTGCCTACTGTCACTGCTCTCCCGCGAGCGCAGACTCACACCGGCCTCTCTTCGCACAAAGACTGTGCGGCTGCGGGTGACGCCGGGGGCAGCTCATGTGGGAGCCCCGCTGCTCACAGCCAGGCACTGACTCCATGGAGCTGGTTCATTCAAGGATCTAGGTCCTTCCCAACTCCGGAGAGGTAAGTGTGTTTCACCCCCATCACCAAAGATCGTTATGGCGCACTGTTTGCATTCTTGGTGCCAGAGGAGCGGTGGGCTCATCATTATAAAACTTCCTCCGTGTCTTCGCCGTTGGCAAAACGGTGTATTTGTTATGATCAGATGCACCTTGACTGTCTTCTGCTTACCCCTTCCGGACTTGGAGGTTTGGAGGGGTTGTTTGAGTTTTATGAGCAGTCGCACGTGGAAGGAACTTTCTGTAAAGTTTTTAATCTCTGCGTCCTCCTGAAGAAAAGTGGGAATCTGCTCGTAACTCCCTGCCTGGCTGATTCACCTGTGATTATTTTGGTCTGCAGGGGAGACTGGTAGAATTTGAAGGTGGAGATCGTTGTGGTCTTGCTCTGGGATAGGTTAAGGGAAGGCTGATAGAGGATGATAGAACAATAAAATTTTATCTCTAAAGGACGCTCACCTTGCAGTGTACAAAAGTTTTGTATCCATCCCTCATTCCACGACATCCTCCCTGTGGTTAGACAGAGAGAGGGAGGAGGGCTGGAGAACAGAAGGGAGGAGGCAAGTCCAAGGGCCAGATGAGCAGCTAGAGTACTAGGTGGGAGGGGGGACCCCAACTTCCATGCTGAAGGGCAGGGGGACTCCCCGTGGGTATCTCCTGATTCACTGATCCTCTGGCTGGGTACCTGTGCATGTCTTGGGGTGCTTAGAGCCAGTGGTACCCTGCATCTTTCTAGAATCACCTCCCCCTCCTCACCCCTCATCACAGAAAGCCCTGAGAAACCCCTTGCCCCCTGGCTGGGAAGATCTACCTGGCAGACTCTGAGAAGGGCACAGGGGCTCCTCTCTCTCTTCAGTGTTACAAGGGGATTAGGAGCTCGAGTTTCGAAGCCAGGCATCAGTCATTTTGGTGTCCCCACCACCACTATCAAAGATGTTACCATGATGAGAATCTGCAACCTCTGTGGGCCTCAGTGTCCACTTACCTAAAATGGGGACAATAACTTCTGTTGTCATTATGAGAAGGAAATGGAGCATAAAGCATTTGGGAGAGTAAGTGCTCAGTAACCGGAAGTTTGGAAAAATCACTGTCATTTGTCAAACACTGCCATCACCTTGGAAGTTAAAAGAGGCATTTAGGCAATCTTGGATTGTTTCTCATGTGTTCCTCACTCCCTACCCCGAACCCCCTTCTTTTCATCTCCCTGGTCTGAGGGCGTCTCACTGGGCTGGCGGGTTGGAGACTTGGCTATATTTCACAAGCAGGAGGTTGTTTTGGCACAGGTTAGGAGAAAGGGAACAGCCCAGGGCTGGATGTATATGTCAGGTTCTGACTCCAGAATGCACAAGATTTTGAGTTTGGGCGTTTGCAGATTCGAAAGCTGTCCGCTACAAAGTAGGATGCTGCGGGGGTGGGGGGTCCTCCTTGGAAATGCTCTCCGTCCCTAGTGAGAGCAGGACAGGGAGCCCCACTTGAAGAATGAATGCCTCTTTTTCATGTTTTGTGGACTCCCCCCACCACCACTTTTTATGAAGCTTTCCCATATGTGCTTTAGAAATAAAACCTGCTACCCACCCCAGCCAGCTTTCTGCCTTGCCCTTCGGATATGGTCAGCCCGATGGAGGACTGGGGGAGGTTTGTTCAGCACTAAAGAAATCTGGGGGAAATTTGCTGGCATTGTGTGCATCGGGGCCCATTGCAATAGAGGTGACTGTGCTTTGACCATACGTGTTTCAGGTGGGTGATGGCGTTTGGGGGAAGAAATGCGTGCATGGTATGAATATTCTCTGGTTTGCTCAGAACAGTGTGAATCGGATAAGGATTAAAAGGGGTATTACCAACTCTACAGTCTTTAAAGATTTTTTTTCTCTGTGCTTTGTTTGAAAAACCCTAGCTTCCCTATCTCATCTTCTACTAACTGCTTGTCTCCTCCCCCCAAAGAAGTTACTGATCTTCCAGCCCTCAGTTTTGTTGTCCATACAAAGAGGGTGACGATCTGTATCTCTCTGGGCTCTTGTGACGGCCAAATGAGATAATATATGGCAGATTCGGTACCTGACACGTAGTAGGGGCTCAATAAATGGAGGTTTTTCTTAGTTTTCTTGCTTCTCAGTTTATAAGGACTTATCTGAAATTCGTGTTCTCAGACAGTGGTTTTCAAACTTCTATTTAGCTGTGGAAACATTCATTAAATGAAATTGATGGCAGAACTCCAATATGAATGTAAATGTGGGGCTGCTTTGGCTGACGTGGGAGTGGAGGGTCTGAAACTCACCCCATTGTTCTCAGCCCTTTGGGACATTTCCCCAGAACCTTGAATGACACAAAATGCAGTTAAAAATCATGAAACAAGGCAGTGCACATTCAGGCTGCCGTTTTGCATTGCAGTTTGCCCCTTCGAGTCCCCAACTGGAACAGGAATCAATACGATTCCCCGAGTAGGACCGTAGACAAGAATACAGGAAACATAAAAGCCTTAACAAGGGATGCTGATTTTAATTTATTTTAATGATACCAGTAGCCAAAATACATGGAGAGCCTAGTCTATTCTATGCCCCCCTTGTGCACATCATCTCACGAAACATCCACACTGCGTCTCTGAGAAATGGACCACGCTTATTGGATAAAGACGTAAGTTGAAGAGTAGAGAGGATGAACAATTTTTCCAGATCCTAGAATGCAGGGTGATGGAGCCACTTTTCAGACCCACGTCCCGGTGACCCCCAAATCAGAAACACATTTCACCGTGTGCCTTCTGAATGCTGCTGCTTCTTGCGCTCACTGTCTTTAGAAGGGGAAAAAACTTCCTTTCTGACTAAATCTACGCTCCAGCCAGACTGTGGCCACCCATAAATACAGCAGTAGCCTGATCATATAACCAGAATGGAATTTGGGAAGGGAATTCAAGCTGACAGAATGAAAAACATGTCCCCCTTAAGTCTCCCCCTTCTGATGCTCACGATGAACTAAAAACACCTATTCTGCTCTTCCCCTGGGTTTCTGTAGAAATACAGCCACGTTTTCTTACAAGGAAAGCAAAGCTATCTAGCTGGTATAAAGCACAAGTCTCTCCACATTGAAGTCACTTTAGTTTGGAAAGTACCAGACATTCAGCTCACCCCAGATACACAGCTCCTTGTGGTGAGGATAAAACACATACACACAGTAATTAACATTGAGGGCTAACTGTGTGATAGAGTTTGTCATTCCTTATCTAATTCTCAGTGTAACACTGCAAGTTATAAATCACTCCCTCTATTTTATGGACAGAGAGTGAAAACCCGAACAAGTTAAGTGGTTCACATGAGGGTTTTCCATAAGTCAGGAGCAGAGTTGGCTTTGAACCCACATGCTCTAAAACTCTACTCTTCTTTCCACGGTGCTTCATTGCTTCCTGACGTCAGGCAGGGCTGACCCCTTATGGAACCTTGAATGATCGCTTTCAGTCATTGGCCAGATGGTAGAGAAGCCCCGGCTGGCATTGGTATCTATTGACTTTACAGAATAGCCCTGCATATATCATTTTTCATGGTGCCCAGAAAAGGTCAGCTTATAGTGGTGCAGTTCTCTGCCTGGAAACAGAAAAGTTCGAATTTCAGCCCCGAGAGAGAGAGAAGAATGACACTAAAGGTAGCAGTCGGGTCATTACTGTTGGTTTTCTTCCCAGGAAAGGAGGCACATACTTTGCTGTGCTCTGCAAGCTGGAGCCCTGCTTGGAGAAGCAGGACCGCACCTGCCCCGCACCCTCTCTGAGAGCCAGCTGAGCCGAGCACCTGGTGTAAAAGGGCTGATGTGGGGACAGAGTGAGATCAGTGTGCCCAGCCTTGGGGCAGTGAATCTCAAGACGATCGGGAAATAAAGGGTTGTAGGCTCCAAGCCACAAATTCCCCTGAAGTCCTAGAGATGAGGGTGATGGTTCAATTACTTCTCGACTTGAAAAGATCACAGGGGATTCCCGTGAATCGAAACCCGGCCAATCTGAACATCTCCAACATGTGGGAAACATGAGACGAAGGCTCCCTTCCAACAGGGAAAACCCCATCAAACTCCTGCCATCTCCAGGCAATAACCCCATCCCGACCAAAAGCCTTACCTGTCAATAAAGGGCTGCATGTACCGCGCGACTTCTGGGTAGAGGGGAATAGTCTGTGTGCCTACCTGTTTCCAACCCTGGTGACCAGACTTTTCTTTCAGTAATGCCTCAAGCCTAGAATTGTTTTTCTGTTTCCTTCTGCCTTGTGTCATATCTCTGGCCTCTACTTAGTCATAACCTCACTGAGCACTGTCAGTGTATCCTTTGACCCTCCGTGAAGGGTTACGAGCAAAATGCCCACACTGAAAGCAAACTGTGTGAGTTAATGTCCTTCCACATGCATTTCTAGTCTCTTTGTGAGTGGAAGTGAAAAAAAAAAATCATGCCAAGTTGTTTCAGATTTTTTGCAATTTCCTGAAATTCACAGGTTCTTAATTCTGTAGCCATGGTAACTTGAATAGTTTTGGCTGGTCCTTTGACACCCACTCCCACCCCCCAAACACCCTGCGTCAAGAGCGGGAGAGATTTTGTAAGCTCTGAAAGTTGACAGCTTTGCCTCAGAGCAAACCAGTGGCTAATTCTTGCCCTGGAGGAGGTGAGTTGGCTGCTATGAACTCCTGCGTGAACAGGTCCAAGAAGGGCTTCTAACTGGGGTGTGGGGGTGATTGTAATAGCTAACATTTCCTAACAACTCTACAGGCATTTTGCCTTTGAGTCATCAACCATCCAGCCAGTGTAACCACCCCCTGTTCAAACATGGGGATCCTGAAGCTGAAAAAGTTTAAGTAGCTTCCACACAGATAGTATATATCAGAGCCAGAACTCAAACCCAGCTCCGAGTCCTGAACACATACTTAAAACCATTAGGATAGGGGGCACCTGGGTGGCTCAGTGGGTTAAAGCCTCTGCCTTCGGCTCAGGTCATGATCCCAGGGTCCTGGGATGGAGCCCCACATCGGGCTCTCTGCTCAGCA